ATCTCACCTTTTGAGATGTCTCAAACTTAGCAAGCCGCTATCAGAGGTGGATACTCCGGGAAAAAAAAAGTTAGTCATGCACTTTGGAAGAGATAAACAGTGATTGATATGAACACTAGAATTATTGAAACAGTCGTATGGGAGCAAGAGAAGTGTTTTTTTACTTCGTAAATAGATCAGAGTCTTGGTCAATGACAATGTTATTTTGGTTCATAGGGAGAATGCTCCAACACTATATTTTGGAGACAATCATGTGTCAGAAGAGGAATTTCAGGATATATAGGACTGAATAAAATTGTTCAAAGGGAAAACAATAATTGCATATATGCTTGAAACAATCATACGAAAATTGAGAAATATATGGAATTTGTACAACAAATTTTATAGAGTGAGAAAGAGATGACAGATATGAACAAATTTGAAATATAATACGTAACACTCCAAGTTTTTTTTTAAATAAATTAATAAAAGAGATTTAATTAATTAAGAAAATTTTAAAAACTAATTGAGATGTTTTTATTTTTTATTTGGTAAAGATAGGAAAGATTATAAAGATGGTCGCAATGAGGATTAAACATAGGTCCTCATGCTTCTAACTACTCCCAATCCCTCCCCACTCAACCACTAGCTAGCCCTAGTGGTTAATTGAGATGTTTTTATTTAATTATGTTTTAATTAATTATTGAATTAAGTATATTTTTTAAAAAATAAGTGTTTTATAGTATGATTTTATTTTATTTATGTTTTATGTTTTAAAAGTTGGTTTATAAAAATGGAGACTTTTAGTGTAGTCAGTTTACATTTTTTTTTCTTCTATGTTTAGGTTCTTCTCTTTGTGTCTGAAGGATTTGAAGAACCTGAGGCCTTTGGAGATTACTTTGAAATTTCGTACCCTTCGTTTGACACTCATTGAAGTAAAAGAAGAATGAGTTGTATTGTTCTAAGGTGTAAGTTATCTGTTGGATAGAAAGAATGACCTTAATCCTTTATCTGTTCATGTATACTGTGGGGGAAATCCCAACTCTTATTTATAAGTAAATTTGTGTTTTGTACTCTTTGTATGTGACTTATCTACGACGATTGAATTATGTGTAATCAATTTTGTGTAACTTCCTTGAATATAAATCTGTGAGTGATTGTAACTGTTGTAGAAACCCTTGATTTATAGAGTAAAGTGAAGATTAATATTAATTGCATGAATAAGTGAAATTGATGTTGGACTTATGTAATTGATGATTTAATTGTGATTTTTATTGATTGGTTTATAGTTTTGGGGTTTGAATTTTGTAATATGTAATTTTTGCACATTTTGTAGGATTTTCACAAACTAGTGTTGTGTTGGGTGCAAATTTATGGTGTTGGACATGATAATTCATAATGTTCCCTAATCCTTTGGTGTCGAGCACAATTTGACATTGTTTTTAAAGTACGTTTTATGCTAGATGTGGACTCAACAATGTCGAGTGCCATCTTGATCTTTATGCACTAGGTGTGAAAGATTTTTTGTCAAGCGTAATAGTTGATAAGTGTCTAACTAATTTGATGAAATATGAATTTGAGACACTTATCTAGCACAATTTTTGTACATATTGATATAATTTTGGTCTATATATACTTAGAATCAAAGAGGAACTTTTGATTTATGTTAGTACAGGGAGCGATGAATCTTTTGATCAAATTTTGTGTTATTTTGTAGGTTTTGAAATCTGGAGGCAAATGGCTCAGCCGTTTAAAACGGCTGAGCGCTTTCAAGCCAGAGAGCTCAACAAATGCAGCAAAGGAGAGGCGCTCAGCCACTCTAAGGCGCTGAGCGGTTTTGGCCCTGGAAGAAGGAGTGCTCTCTGCCTCCTAGGCGCTCAACGGATATGAAGCGCCAAACTCCTTGTGCTTGCTTAATAGTGAAGAATCTCTCAAGCGCTCAGCAGATTTGAACGGCTCGGCCCTTTAGATTACTTCATGATGAAGAATTCTTCAAATCGCTCAGCCGTTTCAAGGCGCTGAGCGGATTCTTCTTTTTCCTGCCTACTCTGTTTTAATTCCAGCACTTATAAAAGGCCAGTGGAGAGAGAAAAAAGGGCATCACTAGCTGCACGAAGAGAAGAACAGAGACGGGAAAAGAAAACAGAGCACCTTGGAGCTCGTGGGAACACGGTTCTTAGGAGGATCTCTTTCTTCTACCTTTCTTCTTACTCTTTTGTGATTTCTTATTATATGGAGAGCTAAAACTCTAGGGTTAGGATTAATGTAATCATCGAACTCCTGTGTATTCCCTTTTGATTCATATATATATATTATATCCATTATTTAGTGTTAGTGATTTGTATTCTGTGCTTAATGCTTTGATAAACTGATCATTTATCTTTGATCTTGGATTTAGAATTTGGTTGGAAAACGTTTTCTGAATCTAGACTTGAAACAAATCACCTATTAGTTTTGAGAGCCAGGGATGGTCTTGAAATTAATAGTTGCAACAAGTTCTAATTCTTAATGCGAGATATTTAACTGAATGAAGTGAGGAATCATTCATTGAGTTAAATATCTTAGAATTTCTTATGCCAAGGGATTGAGTTTGAATGAAAATAGATAACTCAATGGCAATGAGTAATGAAATCATTTGCCAGAATCATTAGGAATACATAGGAGGGAGATTGATGAATTTAATCCCAACTGTTTATCACATCTATTTTTTTAAATTTGATTTGACTTGGGTTACTTAAGTTTATTTCACTGCTCATATCTAATATTTAACACGTGTGAATACTCAAACTTTGACATCACAAGTAACAATTAGTGTAATAGAAATCAAAATCTACTTCACAAGTCCCTGAGGATCGAAAACCTTTTAATTATACTACAGAGACTTGGGTGGGCTTGCCCAGAAAACCCAACAATAGTCATAATTAGGTTTTGTGATCTTTATAACAGTTGTAACCTTGGATATTAACCTTCGAATGGTGTTGGAATCACCCAAAAAAGAAGATATAGAACTCAAGTTATAATCAAATTAGTGTGTGGAGGTCAAGTTGTCACTTTTAGGCTAAAATGTTGCATTTTTGTAATTTTTAAAAATAGTATATGAAAAAATCAACTCTTGATGTGAACTTAAAAGTTGTAAATAATTATCTTAACTTTCTAAAAATATTAATATCAACTTGATAACATATATATATTTTTAGATATCATGTTTGAACCACAGGTGGTCATAGAAGATTAAGATACAGAAAGACAATTTGTGAGTGGTGATAATGAATTGTCGTACCCTTTAAGTATTTAATATTATGAATGAGATGTTTCTACTTCTCTTTCTTTTATTGGCATCCTTGTATGTGTTTTGTGGGCGAGAATTATCATCTCGATGGTGTTGCCAAAGATGAGGCTTGAGCCTTATGCCTTGTGATAGTTGAACTCTAATAAGGTGTGACATCGATCTTTTAGTTAGAACCTTATGTTTTGTTGGTTCCATCATGTTTAGGACTTATGTTAGTTCCTTGAGTTGTAATAACTTATTTAATTTTTCCATAATTAAGAGAGATGTGGTAACTATATTTGAGGGACTTTATGAAAGATTTTTCTTTTTATTAAAGTTTATTTTAAACTTTTATCGTCTTTTTTATTTATATGATCATAATAAGACGTGGGATAAAAACAATATATAACAAATATAAAGAAATAGATAAAAAAATAATGTTATAAAAACTATTGTATGAATTATTATCTATATTATTAATCAATAAAACTTTGTATGCATGTAGCATAATTTAGTTAACTAAGGATTATTTTTTATAACCAAAATATTAATACAATAGCTTTATAAGGTTTCATAAAAATAAAAGAGTTTATAAAGTTATATCGAAGAGATAAAAAAAAACCACAAGGTGAATACCATCAATTAATAGAGAACTAACAAGTGTGTTAATTAATTAATAGGATATTATTTCAAATTAATTACTTGTCTCGAGTTTAAGTCTTTTAAGTATGTAAATGCATTAATATTTAATGAAAGAATTTTGTTTTATTTTTTTTATAATGATTCTATTTAATTCAAACAAAATTATTTTTATAGTAGATTCATGTGATATAAAAAAAATCAATTAATAGAAAAAGCACACAGTACAGCAATGTTCATTTCGGCATTCATTCATTTTTTTTTTTTTTTTTTGCGTTTTCAGCATTAATTTAATGTTTACGATTTGACTTTTTTGAAGTTTAAAATAACGAATATGACATTTTTTTTTTTTTAATTTAAGAACGTAGTTATAATTATTGAGCAAAAATATTTTCCGGCATGACTTGAAAAAAACCAAGTCAAGCATATACTGTTTTTCAAATCCAGTTTTGTCACTAGACATGATACCAAAACACAACATATAGGATATATATCATGCACATGAGTGAATATTTCTCTCTTGCATAAATTTAGGTGAATCAATAACCTATCTAAAATGACCTACAAAATAGTTTACAAGCACTTTGAGAGATACAAAATTCTTTCATTTTTTTTAAATAACAAAATGAGAAGAATTTGAAATCTTGACAACAATTAAAGTTACAGGAAAAAAATAAGTTGAAACCCTAACCGAGTCATTTTTATTTTATTATTATTATTTTTTTAATTTCTACATTGTGTATTGTGTATTCAGATATATAGTACTATCGGTGAACTGTAACACTTTTTACAACACAATAATGGGATAACGTTTGGTAAGAGAGGAAAACAAACTTAGATCTCTATTTATTTAACCACTGTATGGTCTATTTGTGTGGGAACAATATTTTGTCTATTGATAGCAACATGGATACCAAGGGTGTGTTAGAATCGATAAAGGTTAAGAGTTTAGATTATGATTGATAAAAAGAAAAAAAGAGTTACATTATTTTCTCCTTTTTTCACTTTCTTTTCTTTATTTTTTTTCATAACCAGTATTAAAGTCAAAATGCTCAATTGACCGTGGATATAGACTTTATTTATTGATAAAAGTATGATCGACTTTATTTATCGATAAAAGTATGATCGACTTTATTGGAATAATATAACGACTTCAACCTAACTTTCTTAAGTTGCATGTGTTTGAAAACAGACAAAATATGTTGAACCCATAAGACATAAAATGTTTTCTACTAAGGTATGTTCAGGACACATCGATGGATTGAATTAAAATCATTTGTCGATCATCAACTTACGAAGTATCAAAAGCCTTTTCACCTTAAAAAATAACACCATGACGATTAACCCTTGGCCCAATTGATAAACTTTTCGAGATTCTTTGAAGATTGACCCTCTTCCGCTGAATTATCCACCATCAATTCCATCAACTTCAATGATCTCACTTTTATGTCTTCATTCCCAAGAAGTTGCTCCACCTTCTTCCTAATCTCTCCCTTTGATATTAATCCATTTTCATCTTTGTCTAATCCCATTCCAACTTTCCACACATCACAAATATACGACTTGTTAATAAATTGGTCACTGAAAAATGGCCAACACAAGAAAGGTATGCCACCACACACACCTTCAATAATAGAATTCCAACCACAATGTGTAATAAAGCAAGCTATGGAAGGGTGGTTCAATATCTTCTTTTGGGGAGCCCAAGATATAATTTTACCTTTAGATCCATGGAATTCATTTGGGTATGCATTTTTCACCTTGTTATGATCGTTACTTGGACGTACAACCCAAAGAAAAGGCTTGTTGAGGAGATCAAGCCCAATAGCTAGTTCCTTAAATTGGTTGGGGTCCATTACTGCCAAACTACCAAAGGAAACATATACAACAGATTGAGGTGGAAATTGATCCAACCAGTTTAGACAAGTTGGGTCTTCTCTCCAGAATGAGCTTTTGTTGGTGTCGGTTTGCATTAATGGGCCAATTGGAAGGAGCCTTGGGCTCATGGCGAGTGCTCCTGGCTCAAGATCACATGTGGTGTTGCAAAGCCACCATTCTCCTAACTTCAAGCTTTGTGTGTCTTGTACCATGTGAAGGAAAAAATTCTTACCAAGACTACACCAAGGTAGCTTTGCCGTGTCCATCATGGGTGAATTTGGTAAAAGCTGAATTTCCTGTTTTCTGGTTGGAAGTCCTGAAATGTTCAAAGAAAATTAAGAGTTCCTTATTCCAAAATATTGGACTACTACTTAAAAATGTTGATAAGGTCATGTAAATAATGTCTTGAGTTTAACTAAAGAAAAACGTAATTAAAAAAATGTCATTAAAGATAATCAATTAAACTCATATTTTTTGACAAATAAAGTTAATATAGTTAAAATAATAATATATTGATACGTGTCAATCAAAATATGTTAATATAAGAAAGTGATATGTATAACATGAATGCATCACGTCTTTAGTGAAAACTCATAGAATAAATAATAATCCTGTTTTTTTTTTTCTTGACATTTTTTTTCTAGAGTATTCTAATTAATTAGTTGAAATTTTGAGATGGAAAAGAATGTACCAATCGAACAAAATGATGGTATTTGATTCTCATTTGACTTTTCGAACATAGAAAATATAAGTTTGGGACAAACTCCTGTCATTGAAAATTTATAAAATGCTGCTTTTTTTTTTTTGTTGTAATTACGTTAGTACGTAGTGCAAAATAGTTAGTAATTTGTCAATTATCAATCTCTCTCAGCCAGCTATCTTTGACTGCACAAGCACAGAGTTGGAATAATGAAATATATAATTCATTTCATTTTTATTCTATTTTTTATTTTTATGTATCGTAGTTTATTTGGCCGAAGACCGATATGTCAGTTAAGTGTTCAAATTTTAGAAAACTAAGTTTGTACTGTAAGTGAGATTGAATTAAAATTTGACGATGCTTGGGAAAAAATAATCTTGAAAACTTCCACTAAGCCATATACATCAAAATTGCGTCAAGAAGGGACAAAAATATATAAAAGTATATTATATGGCATATTTTTGGTGAATTTAAATATCGAAATATCATAGAGTAATAATCAATGAGTTGTTACCAGTTTGAGGGTCTATAATTCCCTCATCAATGAGCTTCGGAATGGACTGAAAAGAGGCGAATGAAGTAGCTGATGCAGGCCACAGAAGAGCCCCTTTAATTCCTAACTCGTGTCCAACTTCCAAGGCCCATCCAATGTTCTTAGAAACAACAATACAAGTGATCTTGTTGTCACATTCCAAAGCATTGATGTCTTGAATGAGCTTGTGAAGCTTAGAGGGCATGGTTCTTCTGAGTGACAAAATCTGTAGAAAAACTAAGAGAGACGAGTAACACTAAAATTGAAAGGCCTATAAACCCTAGATTGAAACGGACTGTTTCAACACAGGTTGTTATTGTCGCCACCCGCCGAAACGGACATTGGCATTCGCGACGATGGTTGGACTCTCTTTTTTTTAGTTTTGAAAAATGATGGATTGTCAGAACGACTTATTCTCAAACTGAGACCTCATCGAACTAACAATTTT